AGAATGGGAGAGAGCCAAAGCATAAGAGACTGTTGAGAACTGAGAACAACCTAAGGGTTGATGGGGGGTGGGAGGGAGGAGAGGGTGGGTGATGGGTACTGAAGAGGGCACCTTTTGGGATGAGCACTGGGTGTTTTATGGAAACCAATTTGACAATAAATTTCATATATAAATAAAAAAATAAGTAAAAGAAAAAAAAATAAAAATAAATGAAATATTCTAGTCATTCTTATATTTCACTAAAGGGAAGGCAATAATAAGTCTTTTCTATATGTTTAGCATTATAAAAAGAATTATTATTTTATGGCTAAAATACATTGTGCTTTTTTTGGTTATATAAGCTATGTTAAAGTCTTGCTGTTGTGGTTAAAAATAGCCATGAAAATATATTTTAACATGTAAGATTATTAAGGCTTACTTCACTGTATACCTAACTAGCACACAGAAGCTTCACTTAGAACTCTAAAATCTCCCCATTTTCCCAATATGAAAAAAGGGGCACATGTTCATTTACTAACCAAACTGTACTGATTTTGAGAATAAATGTAAAACAAAACCATTAGTAACTGCTCTTTCTTATCATGGTGCTCAGACAATGACTGTCATGGACTATTAAAAGTTCTTTGAATATTCAAACATTTCAGGTCAAAATTAGTATGACCAAAATAAAAGAAATCTGTATATTGAGTCTCTTAAAGTAATATTGTTGGTTTAGAGATAAGGAGTTATAATACTAAATGGTTATGTATATTTTTACATATGTTCAAAATAGAGGCTGTATTTTTTTCATAGAGAGCAAAGAGATTTCTATTAGTGAGGTGGAATACATATTCCCCTTTTATTTTAAGATTATGTTTATCTCTTGATGTTCTATTTAAGATTATCCCAATTTTCATAAGTAAATGCCAAAGTTATAATCTATAGATGTTGAATCCAGAAGACATAGTAAGGTACATTTAAATTTCTACAAGTAATTTTTCAAACACATAAAACACTGTTTACCAGCACAAATTATTTTTTATAATTATCAATTATTTTTGTTTATTTATGAACTGCCTTCTAAAAAGGTTTTCTGATGTCTAAAATATACCACAATCATATTTAATTCTTCAAATTTTCAACAGATGTTCCATGCCGGTATATTTAGCAGAGTTCTTCTCCATATCATTATAAGTAAAGTTAACACTGCTGAGTTGTTCAATTTTATTCACACTACTGCCTCGAAATACTCCCCTAGAATTAACGTTTGTCCTTTCCATACTTTGGCTGCCTGTGCAGGCAATTAATTACCACAGATACTGCAATGAAACCACTACACAAATACAAAATGAAATGTTAATACTGGTCATTAGGTGATGGAACTGCTTTGTAAATAATTTTTAAAATTATCTTTCACCAGACCTTTAACATGGTCCTACTAATCAGGTCCAAAGTTACCTATTTGGTCTTATTTCCTATGACTCTTGAACAAAGACTTCTCTCAACCTAGGTCAGGCTGGTTTCCCCACAGATGCACACATGCCCTTGTTTCTTAGGTTCTCTACATGTATAATGTCCTTTCTTGTTTGTTTCCCATCTATCTACAGATGACCCTTCAATGAGACTAGTTCTGTCTTTTGAAATCTTCAGTTCCAAAGACGAAATAATTTCTACCTAGACTTTTTCTACCTTTCTAAATCATATTATAAAATATTCTAAATGTATAATTTTTATAAACTTTATTTTGATGTAACTATATACATACATCAGAAGATACCAAATATACAATATATTCTCAAGGCAGTAAGATCTAAGGGAAAATCAGTTAGACTAAGGTTCAAAAGCTAGGTATACCATTTATTAATTGTGACATAAAAAAAGTCACAAAGTTCTCCAAGTCTTAATGCACTTATCTGTGAAATAAGGTTAGGTGACTTTAGAGAGAGAATATGTGTGTGTGTGTGTATAAATTATATATTTATAGACTCCTTTTTAAAAAACTGACAATGTACCAAAAAATTGAAGAAAACCTACTTCAAATCCCAGGGGATTATAATCATATAGGCTATAGTATTTGACCACAATGCAATACAAATAGGAATTAAAAATAAAGACAACTCCCGGGGCATCTGGGTGGCTCAGTCGGTTGAGCATTCTGCTTCGGCTCAGGTCATGATCTCACAGTTTGTGGGTTAGAGCCCTGCCTTTGGGTCTGTGTTGACAGTTGGAGCCTGGAGCCTGCTTCAGATTCTGTGTCTCCCCAGCTCTCTGCCCCTCCCCTGCTTGCACTGTCTCTGTCTCTGTCTCTGTGTCTCTCAAAAATAAATAAAACATTTAAAAAAAAATTTTAAAAAAAGGACAACTCCCAAACTAAACTCTTAGGAAGTAAAAAGATAGTCTCAAATTATTCTTGGGCCAAAGGATTCAAAATTATATTAATAATTGGGATCATAAGATATCAAAAACTATTGGACATAGCCAGACTACTAGTCAAAGGAAAATTCCAACTTAACCACTATAGAAAAAACACATTTCAAGAGGCTGGGGGATGGCGGGGCTGGGGGAAGAAATTAAAGTAAGATAGAAGAAATAAAATAATGTGGCAATTAGATAAGAAATAGTCAAAAGCTTTTCTTTCCAAAAATATGGATGAAATATCAAGGTATGGGAGAAAATTCAACACCAGATATTAAAAAGGTGACAATATCAAAAATACAAAAAAAAAAGCTTTAAAATTTATTTAAAAATAATACATATAGCTGTATGCCAATAAACTACAAGTTTTTGATTAAACAGATAATCATCTAGGAAAATAGAAATGGCCAGAATTGCTTTAAAAGGTAGAAAAAGTACCAAGTTCTTGAAGAGACACAGTAAAACTGGAGAAAAACTGAAATAGTTGCCCAAGATCTGTATGCAATAATCAGGTTCACACCGTTTTAGAGATGTGCTGTTATGTCATATCTTCAAGAACCAAATGATGTCTCTATCTAAAGTCTTCCAAAGCCCGAGAAAAGGGCAAAGTCTCCTTAATGATTACACAAGACCAGAATAATA